CACCATCCTTATCTTCAATATAAAAATAAACCAAAAAGATTCTTACAAATATCAGATAACACAAATCTTTCTTTTCAACAAACTAATATACACACAGACACATTTTTATAAGAGCACAGTTTATAATAGCTAGATCTGAGAAATATCCTATCAACAGATGAATGGATAAGGAAAATGTGGTATTTATATACAATGTAGTACTATACTGCTATAAAGAAAGATGAACTGGAGGCATTCCTACGTAACCAGATCTACAATACTTTAATTCCTGGACACGGTGGCCATGGATACAAACTCCATCCAGTAGCAGCAGAAGAGGGTGCCTTTGCAGTGTGCAGCCATGTTCACAGCTCAGAGCCAGAGTTGGACTGTAGAACAGGAGACAACTGCAGCATTATGGTGTTTCTCCTGAGATACTGGGTATTTATATTACATTGCACTCAGTCTGTCTGCTTTACACATTGCTTTACACATCTCATGGAAATTTCTCTCCAGATAGAAAACCGTTACTACTACAATTAAGACAAAATAATTTTTAAACTTGGTTTGAAAATCTTTGCGTTACTCCCCGCCACACCCAGAGTGCTGGGTATAGAGCCTAGGGCCCTTGCACTGAATAAAACCCAGCCTGTTTTATTTTGTACTTTTGAACCAGGGCCTCACTGAGTTGAAAGTTTGCCCAGCCTGATTTCACAAGTGGAGTGGTTTTCACGGGGTGGGGAAGGTTCCTTCCGTGTTTCTAAGAACAGGCCTGGTTGAGTGTTCAGTATTTCATGTATGGGACAAGGCTGACTTTGAGACTGCTGTGGCAAAGGTGATATGGTGCATCAAAGTGGGCCAGGCAACTCCACGTCTCCCAATGTAAGATTCCTGATTGAACCTTTCCCCTTACTCACACACTTACAAATGCTAATCCCCAGGGACAGGCAGCCAGAGGAGCCTCAATTCTTTTCCTAGGAAGGAGGGGCAAGTCAGCTCCTGTGCATTGTGCTGGGGTTGGGCTTCAGGAGATGCCCCTCCACTAACCTCTGCCACCTTTCAAAGTAGCCTGCACCAGGAGGACAGCGCGGCTCACCTGTGGCTACAGCACCCAGAAAGGGGCACCTGGGCTCAGCTGTTACGTGGGTCACCAGCTGGGTCAGCTCCATCATGAACTGAGCCTGCAAGAGTGAGTGAAGGGGACCTGTGCAGGCTAGGGCCTACTGTGCTGGGAGCGCCTTACCAGGCCTAGGCTTCCCCTGAGCAAGCATAGGCTAGAGTGAGCCAGGCCAAGATGCATCCAGTTTGAGAGCCCCAGGACAGCAGAAGCAGTCCCGCACCCACCTCAGTGCCTGTGGACCGGCCCACAGCCCTGCTGAGAGTCTCTCTGTAACCATTTGCAACCCAGAAGGCTTGCCTTTTCAGGTCTGCAGAGAAAATGTCTCCAGCCGCTGCCCAGGAGACTGTGTGACCATCAGCCCTGCTCCTTTCCACCTGCGCCACTGGCCAGGAGCTCTTAGAGCTGCGGAACCTCTGGGGTGTGGACACTGGTGCCCCCATCGGCTGCAGGTGTGGGGTGGGCGGGCTTGCAGGACTCTGTGCTGCCTGGGCTCCATGTAGGCGTGAGGCCAGACCCAGGAGAGCTGCTGGGGTCAGGTGCAGATGCTGCTAATCTCAGGACAGGAGCAGTCCCAGGCTGATCATCTCCCTTGCTAGGCTAGTGGGCCCCAGGCCTGGGAGTTGTGGAAAGCTAGGAAGTGGTGTGTGCGTGTATGCGTGTGTGTGTGTGTGTGTGTGTGTGTGTGTGTGGTGTGTGTGTCGGAGTGGGGGGATCCAGATAACTGGGCATCAAGTATCTTCCCGCTGGTTTGAGAACTGAGAAGGCTTCCTCTCAGCAGCGGAAGGCTGGGGAGGCTTTTTAGAGTTAGCACAGAGCAGGCAGCTAGAGGATCTCGTGTCTCTCCTCCTAAGCCAGCAGCAGGGCCTGACAGGGCTAAGGCTCATCTGAGTCCTAGCAGTAAAATACCACTGGGTGTCCTTGCACTGGTTTGTAAAATCATGTGGAGGTTACATCATGGAAACACACATCTGTTTCTTGTGTAAGATAAAGCAATATGAGGAAGATTAAGCTGAAGCAAGACATAAGCTAATCTGTACCTTTTAATTTTCTTTCATGAGGAAAACATTAAAAAAGTTAAAAAGTAGGAATGGTGAATTAGTGGATACATTTTTTTAAAAAAAGTATTCTGTAGGAAACAAGTATACATTTAGAAAGTGACATTTAGGGAAAGTAGGTTTTTTGAAGTATTTCATAGGACTAGTAAGAAACATAGATTGAGAAAAAAGGTAAAATTAGAACAGTTCAGGAAAATGTGAAGTGTTGGGCTGGGGTATTGCTAGAGGTAGAGCTGTGTCCTAGAATGCACAAGGCTCTGGGTTGGATCCAGGCAGTAAAAAAAGAACCACTACTGCCAAGAAACCTTAAAATAGAATGTCAGCATCTGTATCTACACAGCAAAGAGCTCATCATATATACATGTATGTGGGATTCTTATAATTGCATGTATCATGGAAAGGATTGATGTATAGTTATACAAATTTTCATATGCAGTACAGTATTCAAAGAGTAACTGAGCAAATTATGAAAAGACAATTTGCACAAAATAAAGCCAAATAGTAAGTGTCCATTTAAAATGCTCAAATTCATCAATATGTCTGGAGAATGTAAATGGTAACTAACAATGAGGTATCACTTCATAATTATCAGACTAACACAAAATCTAAAATAACATCAGCATTCCTTGCTGATTGGAATATAGAGAAATGTTAATTTAAAACACTTATTTTTGAGTTTAGTACCCACTGGAGAAAGCAATGTGGTATTTTGTAATAAAATTGTTGTAACAGTAATAAAAATTGCCTCACAGATCCTTTTATCCATTCTAACCTGAGTATTCCTTCCATACAGATAGTCACTAGTATGTAAGGATGTAATTTAAGACATTTTTTTCTTGCAAGAGAATTGCAATATTCTGCTATAACAGCAAGAATACTGGAAACAAAGTGAATGTAAATTGATGGGATAGTGGTTGGAAAAAATAGTTTAGCCAACAAAAAGGGAAATGTTATCCATAAATATATTATGTGACTCCACTTATGTGATTATATTTTAAAAAGAATAATAGCAAAAAAGAACAACAGCAAAATACCAAGAACATAGACAAAAACAAGACAAAGCAAAAACAATGAAAGTGATGCAGGGTTTCAAAACAAAATTATAGAAATTAACAGTGGCTGTTATATTTCATATTGTTATATGATTATATTATTGAGTATATAATCAAATAACTTATAGATTATTTATAGACATGTCTTGGTTACATTTCTCTTGTTGCTGAGACAAAATACCTGACACCCAGAATTAAGGAAGGAAAGGTTTATTTAGCTCACAGTTTGTGGAGGTTTCAGTCCGTACTTGGCTGATCCAAGGCAGGGTGACACATGGCAGAGGGCAACCATTCATGGTCGCAGAAAGCAGCAAAACAACAAGAGCAAAGAGGGAGGAGAGGTGGCAAGCAGCCTCTTTCCCTCCCTTACATTGTATGCAAACTGCCTGCCCTAGGGCAGGTGTAGCACTCACACCTAGAATGCTTGCATTGGACCGTGGATCAATCATAAACTCTAGAAGCTCACCCCATAACTGCATGAGGCTTTGGGGGGACATCCAGACACAAACCATAAGAAGACATGAATATGTAGAAGAACTTAAAGTTGTAAGAGTACTGTATGCTGAGACTATGGATAGCTTGGCTTGTGATCTCAAATCTAGACATAACTTATGATGTGATAGTCATTTAACAGGATTTTCCTTAAAGTGTAGTCACTGCATCCTGATGCTTCAGAATTAGATGAAGGTGGTTTTAAAAATGGCATTTCTTAATCCTACTGTATTTTCATCAAATACAAATGATTTTTATGTATAGTAAAGCTTAAAAAGTATTATATTTATATTTCCTGCTCAGGAAAACTAGCATGCTTTTTCATACAAAAGAATTGGTCTGTATGTGTTGTAATCCATACTTCTATGCATATGTATGTAAGGAGGGAAACACATTTTTATATTTATGGTTTTACCTCAGCAGTTAAGATCCCTTGATGAACACCTGGCCTGTTTAGTGGACCAAGAATCTTTCTTGTTCACTGATGTTGCAGGGAT